ATGATAATTTCACTTGCGCTCTGTCCACAAACACAAACACAATTTAGTTGCGCTCTCTCCGAAGACAGAAATACAACTAGGAGGTGAAATTTAGTTTGTCCGCCCGACAGCAGATACTACACTTTGATCCCAACCAAAAGGCCGAGAAGTAATGAAGAGCCCGATAAAAGTAACATTTTTCACCTTCACAATATCGAACAACGGAAACAGAGTAAGCCAATCGCCAATAATCCAGTGATCATAAATAAAAAAAACATTGTCTGCTGAATTATTTTGAAATTATTATTAAGATAAATGTTCGTAAGATGGGGATTTGTCTAGTTTGGGAACTATTAATAAAGAATGAAAGAGAAATGACAGCAAGGCCTCAGCAATAGAAAAGAGAAGCATAGGTGAATGTTGCTAAGCGTTACAAGCAGCAGCACCAACAGCATCATCAGCAGGCAGTTTAGGCTCAAGGTTGCACGTTTCTACACACAGGGTTGTCAATATAATGAAGAGGATTAAAACGTTTGTTCCTAAATAAGAACTAAGATAAGTTATCCCTGACCATGTTCAGCGGGACGGGACCAATCTAACCTACTACACTTACTGAAGGCCGGAGGACGCAACGGCCAAAATGTTATCACAATAACAACAAAGGTGACGACAATAGTTGAGATGTAATAATGTAAATATCTCCCCATCCCAGAAATTCAAACAGAAAAGAAATTTAGTGTATCACTGTATCATTAACGTTACGATATAAAATCTAAAAGGGCTTAATGTATTCCTCATTTTCCATATATATATATATATATATATATATATATATATATATATATATATATATATAGTGTGTGTGTGTGTGTGTGTGTGTGTGTGTGTGTGTGTGTGTGTGTGTGTGTGTGTGTGAGAGAGAGAGAGAGTAGTTAAAACGTTCGCATTCTGACCATGAGACCCGGGTTCAAATATCACCATGGTCAGGAAGGTAATTTCCTGATATCCCAGCAATTTAGAAAGTGTCTGAAAACCATACCACGGGTTGACCCGAGCCTTGTGAGTGAAATTATATTATATAGACGGTAACCTTAGCCGTGGATAGTTGTACTAGCACGAAGTCACAAGTCATCGTTGCCGAGAGCTTGAGCGTACTTGCCTTGTTCAAATTGCCCGAGTAAGCGTCTGCAATAGGGATTAGGTAACCGCCCTAGTAGACAGGTATCCTCGAATACGAGATGCTAGCTATATATATATATATATATATATATATATATATATATGATAGGATATAGAATTTTATATTGACAACGGTTTCGTATTTATTAGGTAGTCGTCTTTAAGATGTAATACACGCAGCAATAATGTTAACTAAAAGAGAACATTTGCTCTTGCTGTCTGTATAGGATTAGACTTCCGGTTGCTTCTAAATTCTATTTCATCTTTATACTTCTAACGTCTCCGCTTAAACTGTGATTTTTTTTTGCTATTTTTTTTTTTTAGTTTTCTTTTTTTTTACACAATAAAAGAAGATAATTTCACGTATCGCCAGGGTCACACTCCTCCCGCTCTTTTGAACAGGAGTAAAAGTTTATCGATTGTTTCTTGTTTAAGATTAGGTTTCCGATGCCTTCTAAATTCTACTTCAACTCAATACTTCTAACGTTACCGCCTAGATTCTGATATTTATACTATTATTGAGTTTTTGGTTCCTTCTAAAATATTAACTTCTCTTTCACTTCCAGTAGCCCCTTGTGTGCTAATGACGTTGTCGCCTTTCTTGGAGTGAATTGATTAAAAATATTTGTTATGGACAAAACGATTCTTGTGTCCTCTGTTTTATAAAACACGAGATTAAATTCACTACAGAAACCTGCTTAAAATCTTATAGACAGTTGCTGGAAAATTTTGCACATACTTATTTATAACTTTAAGCAATAAGAAAACCACCAATTCGTAGCGAGAAACCCCCAAAGCGGATTCTTTCCTAACTTACCTGTAATTTTACCTGGATTTTTAAGGGTGCCGATCTCTGTTGTAAAAGTAATCAGGCTTATAATTTAGATGTAACATGAACTTGTACAATGGAAGAGACATCAAGGCTGTCTCAGTCAAATAAAATATTATATGCCCACTTGATTTTAATTCATTTTCAACGAACTCATTCGGAATGAAGAACAGATATGCTTTGTTGAATCTCCGGAGCTTGCGACAGAGTTCATCTGAGTGCTCACTGCTTTGGCGCGTCACAGATTTTCCACTTTCTGACTTTTTGTCAGTTCTCATTGAATCAAACGTGAAACAAAAGCATGAAATAATAGACATTCCAATACACCTTTCTCTCTCATTATCTCACATTCTTCATTCTATCTATCTATCTATCTATCTATCTATCTATCTATCTATACATACATATATATATATATATATATCATCCTGGGTAAGACGATAAACTGTGTCCAACAGCAAGGCCTCTGATAATGTTTTTGAAAAAATAATGTTGCCAGCTGTACGTTTTTGAAAAAAAAATATTACTAGCTATAAGTTTTTAGAAAAATAATATTACCAGCTATACTTTTTGGAGAAAAATTATTAACAGAAATGGATTTTGACAAAACAGAAATATTACCAGGAAAAAAAGTTTATCTATCTATCTATCTATCTATCTATCTATCTATCTATCTATCTATCTATCTATCTATGTCAATGTATCAAAAGTGAAATAATCTACACCTGTGAATCATCTACTCTCTCATTCTATCTATCATTCATTATATATATATATATATATATATATATATATATATATATATATATTTGTTACATTTTTAATAAGTATCAGTTAATTTCTTTTAAATAGCTATCATAAATATAGTCATAGATAAAATTTTACCGTACATAGGCAACTTTCGTTCGTATTTACAAACATAATATATATATATATATATATATATATATATATATATATATATATATATATATATGTCTTGGCCCACTGTTCCGAGGTTATCTGAATACTTGGATGAGTATCGTTGCGGAAGTGAGTGAGTAGCGGCGCTGTATACTCGGTCACCGTGTCCCGTGGTACAGTTGGTATGACGTTTGTGTTGCATCGAAACGCTCCCGGTACGATTCTCGGTAGTGAATGCGCACTGTTGATGTGTACCAGGTAGGAGGAAATGGCTGTCCAGTGTATTATATTGAGGATTATTTTAGGCTCTACGAATTGCTATATGATTAGCAAAAAAAAAGTCCCCAAAATAATCATTTATATATATATATTATATGATTATATATATAATTATGTTATGAAGAATTTGGTAATTCAAGGAGGATGAAATCCTGAGAGCTCAATGAAGAACAGAGCTTTTTCATTTATATATATATATATATATATATATATATATATATATATATATATATATATATATATATATATATATATATATATATATATATATCCGAATATAATGGGAACGAAAATAATATAGATTCTAACATTCACAGCATTAATTCAAAAGAGGTTTCAATACCAAGTGTAGAGTAATAATTATTATTTATTATTTTTACATAACTACATACATTTTTTTTGTAGTGAGCAAGTTGTTTTTTGTCCGTATGTAAAAATTATAATATATATATATATATTCATTTTAGTATAAGCTCTATCAAAAAGGAAAAAAGAGATAGATCTCTCTCTCTCCCCCTCTCTCTCTCTCTCTCTCTCTATATATATATATATATATATATATATATATAGGTGGTGCAAACAAATTCCAAATTAACATAGTTCTTTTATACATTCAATAAATTAGCTTTTGTACTGATATACAACGAAGAAAGAAAATTTAAACGACACAAATAATTATGAATATTCACATAAATAGATAGATAGATGAGAATAGAATGAATAGATAGATAGATAGATAGATAGATAGATAGATAGATAGATAGATAGATAGATAGATAGATAGATTGGTTTCCTGACAGATAAATTACATAAAATTAATTATTCATTAATACATCCAAACGCATATAGGCATATACACAGATGACCCAAAACATTATGGGCACCGGCTTGATAAGTGTGCCCAACAAAACAACGTTTACCTAATTAGGCATTAACTTTATAAAACCTCTAAATATATTCTCTGTTATTCAAAGTCTGATTTTAGCAGCAAGTTGTTTCTTAACCGCTGCTAGAAACTTTCTTCAAGATCGCTAAGTGCCAATAATTTGTTCCAACACATTTCAGGATCTCGCAATATGATTCAAACAGGATACATCGAAGGCAAAATGAACAGGTGTGGGGCAGTGACCCACCAAGCCGACGGGATTATGCGAATGGACAGCGGATTGGAGATGGGAGATATAATAAAAAGAGAAACGTTACTAAGAGCTACAAGGAATATGAAGATGTGGAGAACCATGATCACCTACGTACAGAAGGAACACAGCGTATAGAAAAAGAAGATCGCTTTGTGTATAAACTATATCTTTGTGTGTTCAGGTGCCTAAATGAATTCATTGCTTTCTTTTCGACTCATAGATCACTACTTCCTTTTTCGTTCCATGTTTCAATTAAAATCTTTTGCAGCTGGAGACCCACGGCCGTTGGCGATGCTCTCTCAAGCATCAAGTGCCACTAAATAAATCATTTGTGAAAAAAAAAGTCTCTTAAATGTTTAGAACACCGTTGTCAAATAAAGATAAAAAAATCTCCATTGTTTTTGTTTAATTTTTTTTATTTTCCAAAATGTCATTCTGCTCCTCACTTTTTTGGGGGTGCAATGTACACCATTGATCCACGCGTTCGTCCGTTCTTTCACTCATAGGCTCGCTCTATATAGCTCGTTGGTATTGTATGGTCAAGAAAGAGTAATTAAAATGCGAAAATAGAAAGCTTTTTTTGAATGCGTGAACTTGTCGACTTGCTCGATGCAGTTCGTGTCCCACTGTAAACGTTGAGACATGTTCAGTTTTATTAGGGTGGATAAATCGATTTAGAAGTTTTGTTCAATATGTCGACCGACTGGCGGGGTGGATTCACCCGTGTCACTTTCAGTAAGAAGAAAGATGAGTCATCCCATATACTTGCCACATAAGGATACCAGAAGTCTTACCTTTGTTAATACTTCACATTCTTTCTTTCTTTCTTTCTTTCTTTCTTTCTTTCTTTCTTTTTACTTTACTCTTCGCTTACTTTTTATTTCTTATCTCATTTTTACCTTCTCGCCAGAACTTTATCGATATTTTTTTTTGTTATAATTTTTTATATAATTTTCTTCTTTTCATTCTTGCTTCTTTTCTGCCATTCTTTCTTTCTCATTCCTTCCTTCTATCATTCTTCGGGTATCCATATATTCATTTTTTTCGTGCTAATAGTCTTCTCTATTAATCTTCATTCTTTCTGTCTTTTTCTGTATTTATTTCTTCATTTCTTTCTTTCTTTCTTTCTTTCTTTTTTTCACTGATTTTGTTCCTATGTTTTCTACCTTCCTCTCTTTTTCTTTCTTTTTTAAAATTTCTTTTATAGTTGTCTTCCTATAATTCAGCTTATTTCCGGTCATTCTTTCTTCCTTTTTTCTTCTTTCCTTTTCTCTTTCTTCTGGTACCATGATATTCTTTATGTCTATACTCTTTTTCTTTTTTTCCAAAAATTGTCTTTCTTTCTTTCTTTCTTTCTTTCTTTCTTTCTTTCTTTCTTTCTTTCTTTCCGTATAATTTTTCCTTCGCTGCCTTTTTTCCTATGACTTTTCTAAATTTCCATCGCCTTTTTAATAATATACTTATATAATTTTCTTCACTTCATTCTTTCTTCTATCCTACCATTCCACCATTGTCTTCTTTTTCCTGGTACCATTATATTCTTTCTTTCAATAATCCTTTTCTCCTTTTTCATTTAACTTCCTTCTTGTCTTCTTTCTTGCTTTGTTTCGTTTTTACTATATTTTTCTTTTTTCTTCCCTACCTTTTTAAATATCTCTTTTCTATCTTCTCGTCAGACTTTCACATTTAAAACTAAATACATCCTATTTAATTTTCTTCCTTTCATTTTCGATTCTTTGTCACCATTTCTCCTTTTTCCTTCTTTCTATATTTCTTCCGGTAACATTATATTCATTCTTTCCATTCTTCTTTTCGAATTACTTTCCTTCTTCTGTTCATTATGTCATAACTGTTTCCTTCATACCTTGATTTATAATAAACATATTTATGTCTTTTCTTCTTCGTAGCCCATCAGTCATTATTTTCCTATGTTCCACTTAAATAACTTTCTTTCTTGGTTCTTACATCTACAATATTTTAACATTTCAGCGAGCAGTAGAGGAAGTTTTACGTGTTTTTGTGGGATAGTTGGCAAAAAATGAATACAAGAAATCTAGAGAAACGGATTAAGATCAAGTTTTGTATGAAAATTGGTAAAAAAGTTCAAGTGGAACGTTAGCACTATTGAAAATTGCTTATGGTGACTATTTCCTGGAGAAATCGACTGTTCAAGCAAAAGGGAGAAAATGGCCCGATAAAACAAGGTGAGATGTCTAAGACATAAGGAACAGGTGCAAATGTAGATAGCGTGTGAATCTGTGTGCGCTCAGACTGAAGACTAAGTATGCGACCGAGAGCAGAAGAAATAATTATTAATATTGGATTAAGAAGCGTTATGCATTCGGGTGTTGTGAGTTCTTAGCTAAGAAACCCATTATCTTACATAATGCGGAGTGTAGGACTGGATGGTCAGTGATTAGTCAGAATGCTTCGTGAGCGTGGTATTTTGACTGTGCTGGGATGGTTTTGCTTAAGATTTGGATATAATACTTAAGCGACGCAAAGTTGATAGAAGGACACAGGAATTTTGAAACATTGATAAGACGTACGCCCTTCCGTGGCCAAATGCTACATAATGAGCGGACATGCGTTCCTCTGACGTTGATCCTTCCTCTGACTCCGAGAATGATTCTACCACGTCTGTCCCTCGCGTATAATAAAACGAATACGAAAAAACGTCTTCCTTAATGAAGTGGCATTAGGGTCCAAGGACCTAAAGCCAGTGACGACACAGAACGCAAAAATTGCTTAAAAAGCGTGACCATCCATGTTTTTCTTTTTTCCCTTATTCGATCTACTGTTGTTTTGTTCATTCGATGCGGGCATTCTTCAGTCTTTCAATTCTGTGTATTTTTACTTTTCTGGCTTACGGCCACATCCCAAAGAAACGCCGTTTCCAGTACGATCACTGAGGTTAAGCAATATCGAGCCTGGTCAGTATTCAGATAGACGACCGCTTGGGAATATCAGGTACTGTAAATTTGGATGTGCAGGTGTTATAATAGATAATGACTCGGAATTGTTAATCGGAGTGCGGACAGGGTCTCAACGCGCAAATACCCTTGAGGATGGTATGAATCCACCTCTTCTCTCCCAAGCTATGGGTTAATTAGTAAGACTATATCACGAAACCATTATTATCTCCAAAAGCGAGTGTTCTTGCAATCTAAAAATATTTCCTGGCTTTAAGTAACCTGAAAAGGGTTGATAAACCGTAAAAAAAGAAACAATCAGTCAATCTTACTTTTATGCTCTCATTATTTGACATTTTTTTCTTCTTCCCTTCTTCTGTATTATTTTTCCACAGATTCTAGAATTTTATTTTTATTCTTTTATTTCTTCTTTCTCTCCTCAATTATCTCCTTGTTTTCTTTCACCTACCCTGGAACTACTTAAATAGGCTGGTCCACTCTTAAAATATCAGGAATTCTTCTTGATTTTTGCAAGTAATTTTGGTATATTCGTAACCTTTACACATTTTGGGGGCCACGATACTACTCAATATAGAAAAATATTGGTACTGCATCGCTTTAAGAGGAGGGTGCTGTTCGTGATATCGATATAATGTAAAATCGATCCCTGACATTTACAGAGATATTGGACCTAACTGTTAATTATGAATGTCATATTTTAAAGTCTAGCAACATCATTGATATGTGCATAATTCTTTTTTTTTTATTATTTTCTGTAATATTTATCCATTTAAACTTTATTTTTCAACATTTATTTACGGATTTTTTGGGGGGGAAGAACTAGTATCGTAGTGATGATGACGTCATATCTGCTGTTGATGATTTTTGACCAACAGGATCAACGGTTTTCTTTGAACAGTCAAATATCAGTTTCCTGGAAAGAAACAATGCAATTATTAATAAGAAAAGGTTAAATTAATGCGTGCAATATTTCAAAGAGTCTAGCGTCACTACTTTATAGTAAGCCTCTGAAATTTTTAGACCCCCCCTCGTAAACTATGGTAATAAACAAAAATGATTCCCAGAAAATATTTCCCTATTTTTACGAGTGGATTCGTATCACTATACCTTCTTACTTTTGTAAACATCCTTTATTATTTCTTCCTGAAAATTCTGCCCGTTCTTCATTTCTTTTCTTTTATACATTACTAGCAGCATGGCCCGGCGTTGCCCGTGCTTGATTCAAAAATCGTTCGACTCATACAGCAATCGCTATCACTTGACTTAAAATATTTTTGCCCTTCCTTGCCTTTAAAGGAGTGCCCTTTTCCGTGCTGATGTTGCTACATGCCTTACTTCTTGCCTATCTCACACTGCGAATTTTTTATAAGCTCTATACTAAACATTAAATCTGTTACGAAAAAAGGAACTAACAAAATGAAACACAAAACGACCAGCTTTAAAAAGGACTCGTAACTGGAAAAACCGAATGAAAAAAGAATGTTAACAACAAATACTTTTTCACACCAAACCCAGTTCTGCAGAATCAGAATCAACGTTGAATTTGAGCAAGCGAATGAACCAATTGGAGTAAAGTGCCATGCAGATTTAAATTTTTCCCACTTGTGACGAATGTAGCTATCGATTTTTTTGCATGCTAGCATGCTAGTTAACATTCGTGTCAGTCAGCTGTTGGCTCTCACGCTGGCCAATAGAATCTTTCTGCCTATTCGTGGCAGCTAGCTATTGGTTCTTACTCTGGCCAGTACAAAATGGTCAGAAACTACATGAAAGCTGCTGTAGAAGCATGAAAAAATCGATTATTTCCACTATCGATGGGAGTTGGGAAATGCATAACTTGGAGCATGTGCATGTAAATTTTGGTGCAAATCCGTCGAAAATTGCGGCCGTGCATTCGTTACACACACACACATACACATCCTGCCTTTTATAGATAGAGATAATATTTTTCCACACATCATTTCTCCATCAAACACCATTTCTTTTAATCTTCTCTTAAATTCCTCCCGTCTTTTCACTCTCACTCCCTTTTTCTTTCGATTCTTTATTTTTTTCCTTCTTTCTCTTATTTACTTATAGTTTATTCCTTATGTTTCCCCTTATATACCGTCTTTGAATGTATAAAGACTAGCTTAAAAGCCACCCTATAGGGTGGCATTTAAGCTAACTCACGCGGTGCGCTCTTGATCACAAAGGCTAGGGAGGAGTAGATGTGATGGACAACAATAAACTACAGAAATCTCAAGATTGATTGCTGCATTTAAGTATTGCATTAATATTTAAGCTTACCTTTTAAAAGTTCAACGATAATTCTTCTGCCACCACTTAATTTAAATACTATTCGATTTAGGTAGATCCTTAATTTCCAGACAAACAATTATTTTTATTTCATGGGTAACTGTTGCTAGATTTCGAAATTAATATCGATTATTCCCAAATTTATTTCCAAGTTATAAAATCTGTTATCGTACAAAAAAATGCGTCGCAAAACATCACGTAAAAAATCGCCGAAAACAATCACGGTAATGAAAATTTGGCAATCTAAAATTGCAGGATTGCCGGTCCGGATCCAGCCCACGGTGGTGGCCTAATTCTGCCTCTAGGAGTAAGGGTGAAATCACGGTCAATTTTATTTTGAAGCACTGTAATTTGAGAACATTTTTTTTCATTTGAACATGAGCTATTGAAAGTTAGAGAGTTGTGTTCCTTTAATTGCTTTTATCACTAGAAATCAATATGGCGGAATTCGAAAACAATCGCAGTAATGAAATCTTGGGAATCCCAAGTTGAAAATGTGTGACACACTGACATTCCCACTTAGTATATAGATGTAAGAACATATTAGACACACTTCCATTTTATCCGGACGTATTCAGAAAGAAATAAGTTTTAGTTTAATATTTAACATTTTCGAACTATATTACATAAACAAATTATTTTTAGCCGGAAACATTGTCTGTTACTGTATGCTAACCCTGTTGACAGCCCCGTTGATTATTGGGCCAAAGCCTGACTACACTACACGCAGCTGCAGCGGTTTCCGTAGTAAATAGATAGTGAATTCAGAGTTTCTATTTTCTTAGCCATCTTGCCAAACAAAACTAGATGGTGGAAACAGAAGAAATGGATTATTACCTTTATAAATTTGCGTAAGCGAACACAACGTTGTCGTTGGAGATTTGAAGTCGATAAGGCAATCCTACATGCCACACCGATAATCGTTACCCGACGATCACTACTCAATCAGAAAGCAGTATTCTTCTTCTATGTATGGTGTCCTTTCTGAACTTCAACGATCACGGCTCTCCACAACTTCCGACCATTTTTAGCCCTAAGTAGCGTTTCTATTTTTACCATCTCTTCCAGTTCCTTTTCTACTACCCGTTTGCAAGAGCTAATTAAATACGTTTTTGGCCGCTTCGGATGATGGGTCTCTTTAATTTGGTCTTAAACGTTGTTTCCTAGGTTAGTGTTTTTATAATTATATGCTTAATCGATAGGTTAACATTTGCAACTCGAATTAGCAGTGTTAACATCTGGCTAATTAGTAATTAAATGCATAAAGAATACACACACACACGCATATTAAATATATATTAAACATGACACATTAAATAATTTAGCCAAGTTTTTGTCTACTTATTCTTAATAGGATCCTCTCATATTTACGGACGAGTTTCTTAGTATCTTTATTAAAAGAAGAAATAAAATTTTCAGGTTCATGTATATCTATATTATTCCCGAGTACTTTCGATATTAGCACAATGTCATCTTCTTTGCTAAGACAAAATTCCTCCAAATTTTCACACACTGTGTTAACTATGAAAGCCAGTGGAATAATAAGGCTTCTTTTTCTATCTTTTCGAAGTACGTTTATGGAAAAAATGTAACTTTTAATGTAAAGAAGTAAAACATATATCTATTCATATCGTAAAATTATTTAATTTCATAATTTAGATCAGGATATATATGCATTAAGGCGTTTGTCATTTGTTTTCAAACAGGAACAATTTTTTAGATATTGCTAACTAATAATTAATAAAAACATACATATTATTGAAAAAAAAACATGTCTTAATCTTTTACGACAAATGTTAGCACAATATGTTATTTGCGAAGCCAAGTGAAACAATAAAGCTTCTTTTACCGTCTTTAAATTCAAATTAAAATGTGTAATTAATAATAAAATTGGAAATAATGCCAACTAATCATTTCAAATAAACCCAACGGTTTGTAGATGATCTAGTATATATAACAAAAAATAACTGGACATTCGTATTCGAGGATACCTGTCTATTAGGTTCGCCAGCCAATTCCTATTGCAGATGCTCTCTCAGGCACATTTGTGTTTGTTCAGTACCCACAGAGCCCACCTGTGGTTTATACTGCAACTATGCTGAGCAGACCTTAGTCCCAGTTTCTGGGAGAGAGTGTGTTATCTAGCCTGAACAACAATTTGAACAGCCAGCACGCTCAAGCCCTCGGCCACGATGAATTGTGACTTCGTGCTTGCAAAGCTATCGACGGCCCTTAGTGTTGCGTCAACCCAATTTCACTCACAAGGCTTGGGTCAACCCGTGGTATAGTTTTCAGGCTTTTGCCAAAGGTGTCGCACGCTGGGATCGTCCCCCTTCAGACCGATAACATTAAGAAGTCTTCTTCCTGATAAATCGACCATGGTATGATTCGAACCCAGGTGTACACACACACACACACACACACATATATATATATATATATATATATATATATATATATATATATATATATATATAAAAAGAAAGAAAGGACAGTAAGATATATAATCCGGTGTTCTTATAGATATTTTTATTTTTACAAAATAGTGCTCAATGTAAATTTACAGAGCATTAATATTATACATTAATTAATTTATATTTTAATATTATAAATTAATTAATTAATATTTTAAATCAATTAATATATATAGATATATATATGTCCTGTACAGTTTGTGGTCTTTTGTGCAATTCTCGAGCCGGTCTCAAAAGTCATGTCCGTCAAAGGCATGCAAATAATTAGTTCAT